ATGTGTTATTGTTAGATTGATGATTGATTGTTTTATATTTAGAACAGGGGATATAGAGCCTTCGAGTAGTTTTAACGGATGATTTTGTTAATGGCATGTATAATCATAGACATACAGATTATACCTTAGGTAGCCGTTTACGAGACTTGTTATTTAATGATTTATTCATAATTAGTTTGCATAGACATACAGTGTATCAGTTATAAATAATAGACTCATAATACACGCGACAGCGGGTTATGAGTAATTGAGTGTCTCGGGTTAATAATCGGGAATCGTAACTTGCATGATAAAGGTTTAATTGGGTGAAGAATTATAGCATAGGGGGAAGATAAAATCCTAGATCCGTTTTTATATTGATATTTTCTCGTGATTATTTGCTTTCATAATTAGTTTAATTATTTAGTAGATTAAATTTGACAACCTTGCGTAGGCTGGATAAAAATCATAGTTGTTAGAATTTGGTACTTAAAAATCGTAGTATTCCTTGTGGGATCGACATCCGACTCTCACGAGTCCACTTTTACAACTTGTTTGCAATACGTGCACTTGCGTGTTAGGTATTTAGCCCAACAAGTTTTTGGCGCCGTTGCCGGGGAATACGGCTAAATTATCTATTTGTTCTAATATTAAATTTAAGCAATTTTTCTTACTTCAGCCGTTTTATTTATTTTATTATTTTATTTGCTTATTTTATTTTTATTATTTTTGTTTTAGGTACTTTTTATGCGAAGAGGACACGGCACGAACTTGCTACCTTTTGATCCCGAAATTGAGCGAACGTTTAGGCACGCCAGGAGAAATCAACAGTTAGCTCAAAACGTTCCCGCAACAATGGAATAAGAAAATAATCGCAGGGGAGACGACCAAGGACGCTTACTAAATGCGGAAGAAAATATCATCAACGAGCAAGAGCAACGTCAGGTCATTAATCCACCACCTCGTTAACGAGCATTGCATGAGTAGACCGTTCCGACACTCAATGGGTTTCAATCAAGCATCCTGCAGCCCCCTATTGAGGCCAATAATTTTGAAATTCAAGCGGGACTCCTTACTATGCTCCAAACCAATGGGTTGTTTAGCGGATTAGCTCATGAAGATCCGCATCTCCACTTGGTCAACTTTCTCGAAACGTGTGATTCACATAAAATGAACGGAGTATCACCTGAAGCACTGCAACTCCGCCTTTTCAAGCACTCTTTACAAGGAGCAGCCCGAGAATGGTTACAAACTCGTGCACCGCACTCCATCTTGTCTTGGCCCTAGCTAGCACAACTTTTCATGAACACATACAACTCCCCAACCAAAACTGAAAAAATCCGGAGAGAAATACAAAACTTCATACAAGAAGCCGGTGAAGCGTTATTCGAGACGTGGGAGCGGTTCAAACAACTAATTCGAAGATGCCCGAATCACGGACTTCAAGAGTAGCGCCAGCTGCAAATATTCTACGATGGATTGGAAGATAACTCGAGGACTATGCTTGACTCTGAAGCTGGAGGAATGTTCATGAGTTTGACCTATGACGAAGCATACGAACTGTTGGAGGGAATCGCTAAAAATAAATACATGCGGGCATCGGACCAATCAAATAGTGGAGCCAATAAGACGGGAGGAATGTTAGATGTTAGAATCCGAGAGGATTCTACTTTCGGTTTATCAGCACGTGTGTGAAAACTTGTG